CCTCAGGCTAGAGTTCACTCACCACTGGACCACCAGGGATGATGTCACCGTGCCGGTCCCGCTCCTCCCAGCTACCACGTGCCTGTCCCCCCTCCCAGGCTAAAGGTAAGAGGGAGAGGGGGATTTAATGCCTACTTAGTTTTTTATTTTATTTCTTTATTTACCCCCCCATAGTTTTTTATTTGTTTATTTACCCCCCACACACACACACACACATTTATACACAGCACTCTCACACATCACACTCTGCACTCTCACACATCACACACAGCACTCTCACACTCAACACTCTCACACTCATCACACTCAGCACTCTCACACACATCATACACAGCACTCTCACACACATCACACTCTGCACTATCACACTCATCACACTCAGCACTCTCACACACATTATACACAGCACTCTCACACACATCATACACAGCACTCTCACACTCATCACACTCAGCACTCTCACACACATCATACACAGCACTCTCACACACATCATACACAGCACTCTCACACACATCATACACAGCACTCTCACACTCAGCACTCTCACACACATCATACACAGCACTCTCACACACATCATACACAGCACTCTCACACATCATACACACACATCATACACAGCACTCTCACACATCATACACAGCACTCTCACACGCAGCACTCTCACACTCTGCACTCTCACACACATCATACACATCACTCTCACACACATCATACACAGCACTCTCACACTCTGCACTCTCACACACATCACACTCTGCACTCTCACACACATCACACTCTGCACTCTCACACACATCACACTCAGCACTCTCACACACATCATACACAGCACTCTCACACACATCATACACAGCACTCTCACACACATCATACACAGCACTCTCACACACATCATACACAGCACTCTCACACACATCACACTCTGCACTCTCACACACATCACATACAGCACTCTCACACTCTGCACTCTCACACATAACACACACAGCACTCTCACACATAACACACACAGCACTCTCACACATAACACACACAGCACTCTCACACACATACACAGCACTATCACACACAACACTCTCACACACAGCACTCAGCACTCTCACACATCACTCTCAAACACATAACACTCAGCACTCACAACACTCTCACACACATCATACACAGCACCCACACACACAGCACCCTCACACAAATTAATCACATACAGCACCCACACATACAGCACCCTCACACACACAACACCCTCACACAGCACCCACACCTCACACACAGGATCCATCACACACACATACTGCACCCCTCACATACACACACAACCCCCCGATACACTGCATCACACACATACACAATACTTCCAAACATATTTATATAAAATATATATATATACACATATAAATATACACACAGCACCCCCCCCCCACACACACACACACAGCACCCCTAAACACATTTTATTCCAGACACACACTAGATCCTCTACCCAACTCTGGATCATCTACACACATACACACACTAGATCCCTATATACACTCTGAATCCATTATATACGCACGCTCACTAGATCTCCTATACATATTCTGGGTCCTTCAAACACACACACACTCTGGATCCCCTATACGCACACTAGATTCCTTGTAAGCAAACATACTACATTCCCTGAACACACACTCTCTACAAACACTACATCACCTACACACACACACTATAGCCTGTATACACACACTTGCTACATCCCCTAACCACACATTCTCTAAAGCCCCTAGCCACATATGCATTACATTACACCACAAACACAACACGACTAAAACCGACCTTATTACACAATACCACACCACGACCAGCTCACTCTACACACATGCAATACCACAAGCAGGCTCCAAACACATGCACAATACTCTTTTCCTGGCCTTTTGTCTCCTGGTATCCATTTATAGAGACACCAGAGACAAGTTGCAAGGAAACACAGTGCAAGCATGTTATTAAATTTGCTTGCACTGCGCAGAACAAATACAGGGCTTTTTTCTCATGCTAGAGCTCTTCAGCAGAGCTCTGTGCATGGTCTGCCCTGGAAGAGCATTGAACCAACATGCTCACTTTGAGAGGAGGCGTGTTTGTCATGAGTGATGACAAAACACACCCTCTCTGCCCCGCCCCCTTCTTAGTGGGCCGCTGTGATAAAAAAATGCCCGGGCCGAATTTTTTTCCCAGTCCGGCCCTGCTCATCCCGACTTACTGGAAACAGACCTCAGCTCTCTCCCAACAGCGGTTGGGAGAAACAAATCATACCTGAAGATC